GACCACAGAGGTTACGAGTGCCTTAGCGTCGGGCATCGGCATGAGTCGTTGGTATGAGAGCGCTTTCGTCAGTGCATCACTATACATTTCCCTGAAAACGGTCTGGCCACAGAACCCTTTTCAGGTTGATTAGCCACAGACAATCTGAATGAGGACGATAGCCACGTACCACCGTAATAGGCCGCCATATCATGTGAAAGGGCATTCGCCAGTATCGGCAATCTCATCTGCCGAAGATCGCCCAGAGACGTAGCCTGCTGGATCCACTCGCTCCAGGCCTCCTCTAGCCAGGGTCTCATCTGCCTCAGCGGTTGGGGCAACCGGCTTTGGTCGAATGCCGACACGTAGCTGACGTCCAAGTTCATACCCGGCGCCGCCTCGGGCGCACTGGCCAACTGCTGCAAAAGTCCGCGAGAGACCCGGAACAGCGTATACCAATCCCAGAGTGTTTTTTCCTCCCTTCTCTTATTCCTCACGTCTCGAATCCGGGAGAGTACATCAGCAGGGATCTTTCCGGGTCTATACACGCCTCGGGTCACTTTTACGTTGCCGAAATAGCAGTTTGGTCGTTCATCAATGAACATGATGGCCAGGCTCTCTAAGTCGATGTTTTCACCAATGTTCCTAACCACGACGCTTCCTACCGGACGGTGGATAGGTGGCAGGCCCCTGCACTCCAGGTCCCACGCACGGAGCAGCCGACGCGCAGACGGTACGTCCTTGGCAACGAAGAGAACAGCGTCGCTCATAAGCATGGACCACCGACAAATCACCCCAGCAGCGCGACTGCACCGCACAAGGTACTTTACATGGCCAGGAACATGAGCCGGATGGGCTTGAGAAAAGGCGTTGCATTGAAAGTTGACTCTATTGATGACGATATGCTTCCTGGCGCGAATCACCTCGACTCCTTGGCCTTCCTCACGCATGGGCTCGTCGTCGACTACACTGACGACGGAGGGCCTTTGTGAACGCTGGATGGATGGAGGCAGACTGATGGCGGCTGATGGTGGATTTCCCTCGATGATTTGAATCCATGTGTGCGGCATGCCGTGCT